TGTGGCTGGCTGGAATAAAATGCCCGTTGTAGGCAGGCTTTAGGGGATCCAGTGGTCACACCGATTGAACAATATGAAGGTCATGAGGTATCAAAGGCTGTTCGAGGAGCTTTTTCCACTTCTAGGAGCCCAATCTTCCAAGTGACTTTGATTCCACTCAAGGTGCATGATCTTTGCAAGTACTTTTGAGGCCAAGATGCTTTTGCTTTTCCAAGCCCATTCTAAACTCATTCAAGGCCATTCTCTTACCTCTCCCTTGGATCTAAAAGGACACAGGACCTTGGAGACTGAATTACTTTGTAGTGATTAGATTTTGAAGGAGCCCCACCCCTTCTGCCACCTCCCTTCTCTGCCCATCCACTCTATCAAGCCACCAGGAAAAATGGTAAGACATTTATTGAATCATCTACAGCAGTTTGACATCCTTAAAATCCTGGACCAGGTTCTGAGCACAGCATTAATGGCAGCAGTGATAGCAGTGAGGTCTGTAGGACTTATCTTGATTGTGGGAGATGAGACCCAGTCTGGTCCAGCTCCCACAGGTGAGCCTGGGGCCATGTCTGGGATGCCAGGGGCTGTACCACTCAAGGCCTCATGGAAGCAAAGCTACAGTAGACAGATAACAGACAAGACACAAACCCCAGGACCTCAAGCTTGAAGAAGAAGGAATGGATCCACTTGAGAGATATTCCAAAGACGGCCATAGGATCACAAGGAAATGCTAAATCATCCACATGGAAGTCTCCCTATCCTGATCCCAAGAGCAAACTCAAACAGCTGGCAAAGATAATAACAGAATTGTGTGTCCACCAGAGCCTCCTGGCCTCCCCCTTGTCCCTGATGCTGGTGATTTTACAAATGGGACAAAGGTTAATCTTGGATGGCTTAAAGTGGTAGACAAAAAAGCAAAGGGACCTTTTCAGGGGATACATTACCCCAGGAACTAGCCCACACCTGTGGTTTCAAAGCACTTTCACACACACAGGCATCTCACTTCAACCCCCTCCTTGGCCTATGAGACAGACCATATAAATCTTTTCCTCTCATTTCTCACATTAGGAAGCTCAGGCCCAGAGAGGTTAAGCCTTGGATCATAGCAGGTGGCGAAGCTCGAATTAGAAAGCAGGCCTCCCCATACCACACTGGATTCCACTGCTGCTCCTGCAGACCAGAGTCCTGAACAACTTTCTGTATCTGTAGTCCTTCTCTTGTGCAAGGCTAAACATTTATTGGATGCTTTGAGTGTGTCATTCTGGCTCATGTAAGTCTCTGGTTCATCTGTGGGCCATTATAAAATATATTAGAAGCCAAGCACGATGCTAGGCCCTCCTATTAAGTGTTCTCTCATCAGCCCAATGGAGAACTTTGATGTGAAGATCTACTAGTTTCCTCTAAGCTGTAGTATTTTGTGAGTCTCCCCAAGTCTATATGGGAAGTAAGTCAAAGTCAAGCTGCAGTTCAGTGGCAAAGCTGTAAGAAGCCACGATTCCCCATTTCCTGCTCAGGGCTCTTCCAACTGGCTCTCATGGTCCTTTTGCTGAAATAGGAATTTATGGTGACAAATATACTCAATCTGGAGTGGCTCTGAAGGGGGAATTGGTACTCAGAGAATTCCAAAGAAAGCTTCATTCAATTCTCCCCCCCTGGGACTGACAGAGTCTGAGCAATGAGGTGAGCCAGTGACCTTGGTGGTTGATAATGGTTGCAGGGTATTCTAAGCCTTGAGCCTGGCTCCATTCCCCAGAGAACACAATTTAGGGATTTTCAGAGAAGGAACTACTCTGGACCCTTGGACTAGTTTCAAGGATGGCACAGAGTTGCCCACTGAAATAGAGAACACAGTTAGCCTCAAGCCATGAGTGATGCATCAGAAGGCCACCATCTTTGAGGACCACCAGAAAACCACCCAAATCCCACACTCTGACCCTGGCCTGGGTTCCCTGATAGCCTTAGCATTAGTGACTTGGAATTCCATCTCCACGATGCTGGAGTAACTCTCTGGACACTGTTTGATGGCTGCATAGTTGTGATAGGAATGAGAAACATCTTTGTCTCGAGCAGAATTCAGCCTCCCATGGGTCTGAGTTCTTGTTCTTTGGATTGCATAGAACAAGAGCAACCTCCTTGACAATAATCATCCTCTAGAGACAAGGAATCAGGTTACCCTAGGTCTGCTCCTCTCCAATGTAACCATCCCCACGTCTCCCAGTCCTTCTTCACATGACATGAGTTTTGTTCCAGGGAATACCTCGATCCTACCTGGGAATCACTCTGAGTTGATGGCTGGTATTTAGACAGAGAATTTCAGAGATGCCATGGGCTGTATAAACCATCAAATCTCAATGTCTATTTACAGATTTGGAAACAAAGGGTCAGAAAGGGCAAGGTCTTACTCAGACTTCATGCAATTCCCACGCTGCCTGTGATCCCGAAGGCCAGTTGCCTCAATTCCTAGAACATTCAGAACACACTGGGCATATCTTCTCACAAGGCTGGCAGTAATTCCAGACAGAAGAACACACCAACAGGAACCAGAACCTCTATGTGGAGGCAGGCTCAGGGTTCAGGCAGAAGCATGGGACGTGGGCCTCAGGGTTATATTTTTGCATTTATGATGATACATCTACAAAGTCAAGGGTTCTTTTTCCACAGTGATGTAAACCTCCTCGTGGGGGCAATGATGAAGGATTGAGGTCCTTCCTCAGGGGATCGCTCCTTCAATCTGGGGGTGGCTACTGCCCACTGTCGTGGTGCTCCTCCATAGCCAAGTGTAGGCCTGAGTCTGCACATCATGCCCAAGTCATCTGTTCAAATGTCCACGCCTGGTCCTTCCCTCTGAAACAGAGCCTGCTTCAGCAGCTTCCCTTGTGGTGTCCAAGTGGAAGAGACAGAAGTTCCATTTCTAAGAAATGGAAAATAAACAGCACTCCATACAATACACACACACACACACACACACACATCAAAATTTTAGATGGTACACACAGTACCATGCCCTTTCACCTGCTGTGGCTTTGAGCTGGACAACTGCTGATGTTCAGAGCCTGGAGAAGTACTAGAAGTCAGTGCCTCAGCTCGAAAATGGGGAAACTGAGGTCCCAAGCTGTAGTGTTGTGTCCACAGTGGCAGCAGTCCAAGCCTGACTAGGGCAGATCCCAGGTCTCTGAACCCCAGGCTATGGCTCCCTCCAAGTATCCCAGGCCCCTAACAGTGTCCAAAGTGTGAGGTGTCCAGTGGATGCTTGCTTGGGTAATACACATGGCTCCCAGAATGAGGTTAAGGATAATTAAGTTGGGTGCAGGATGGGCCACTGCACACGCCATGGTCAGTCTGGGTCACCAAATGTGCCTGGGAAAGGTGACAACTCCTTTCCTCCCTGTTTTGTCAAAGAGCAGGGATCCAACTGTGCTTTACTGGCCAAGGATACAGACATATCTCTAAATCACAGTAATCAAGCTCTTTGCCAGTCATTAGAAGGCAGAAACATTCCCACCTGTCCCTTAGGCCCTGCCTCTTTATAATATCAGGCAAACCAACATCCCCCTATACCTAAACTCCAGACATTACAGAACATGATCGTGATACAAGTCTGCAAACATATCTGGACAGAAACACAACCAAGAACAGACATGGAATTAGCTGGGCCCACACAGGGCCATGGCAATCCAACATTCATTGGCACCTTTCCCAAACCTAGTCCTGCCTCATTTTAAATTCTTAGGTTGTGGTTGTGCAACTTGCAGCGGGGGAGCCAGTGGCCACTCTTCCCTCATCAGTAGCATCTGCTTAGTGAGTATGGTGGGTGTGGCTTTTTCTCCAGACACTCTAGTGCCCCCTTGTGACCCAACATCAAGGGTACACAAAAGGTTAGTCTTCAGAGGTCTGAGAGAGAGTTCAGTAGTGGAGCCCAGATTGGAGGAGCTGGTGGCTGAGGCTCCTCATTGTCCATGTTGGCCGGGGGGGCAGGAGGTGCCCTGGATTTGGGCGCATGGAAGGTGCTTCAAGATTCAATGACATCACAGGAAGGCGGCTGATTCATTGGTTCATCCTAGTCATGGCTTAGATGTGAGAGAAAGGGGTTCTTTGTGGTGGGCATGTTGGGGAACATCATCTGTGAGGCAACTATCTCTCACCTTCTGTAGTTGATGCTGGGAGTGGGAGGAGAAGAAGGGAGACTACCAGATGAATCCCTGCCCATCTTGGGGCATGGGGGCAGTAAAATGATGGAGACATGAAGGCCTTCTTCCATGGATCCCCCAAACTCCTTCCATCTCCTTTCTATCAGATCCATATTTCTAGCTCTCAGCATTTCTTGGGCCACACAAAAAAGGACCAGGGTTTTCCCTGACCTTCAATTCCTGGCCAAGCTGAAGTCTCTTAATGGAAGCACTCTGGAGCGGTCCCACAGACCTGATATATCCAGGAGCCAGGCAACTGGACACCAAAACATTAGGTGAACACAAGGAAGCCTCTGGGATGACCACCATGCTGCCCCTCCAGTAAGCTCCAGGACTGGGCAAACTCACATGGAGGCCACACCCAGAGGCAGACAATGATGGAAGCTGCAGGGGCAGGCGCATCCAGGCCTCCCAAAAGCAAGATCTCTTCAGCCTCAGCTCACAAGGCCTCACACATGGGGTCAGGCCATCATTGAGGCTGGTGAAGACACAGTGGGGTGGAGCTGGGGACCTGGCTGGAGGTAAGCAGGGACTCTGGGCAAAGGAGCAAAGGATGTGGCAACTTTCCCAAATTTGAGGAATATTTACATGCCTGGGGTCAGGGCCTGAGGGACCATGGTAGGTCAGGGCCAGTGTCAAAAATGGGGAGGGAAAATATAGTCTGCGTCCTGCATCCTCCTCCCCTCTCAGGAAGCCAAGCTACCAGCCCAGGGCCTGCCCGAGGGGAGAGAAGAGGCGCAAACATGTATGGGCCACCCACTGCCCGCCTGGCCACAGCCCCAGCCTGTACTATGGAGGAGAGGAGGAGGCGAGGGCGGGGGCTCAGGTAGCCAGGTTGTCAGCTGGGAGGCCCGACATGCGGATCTGGGAGCTGCTCTTGCTCAGGATGGAGAGCTGGGTGCCCCCATTCACCCCACTGCTGGCCAGGGATGGGTGCCGGTGTTTGAAGTCCACAGCGAAATAGCGGTTCACCTTCCAGCTCCGCCACTTACGCTTGATCTCTGCCTGCACCTGCAAGGAGAAACTTGGCAGTTACTGCGATGCATGTCCTCTCCCTCCACGAGGCCTCTATGCTGGTACTGCCATATCCACTCCCCACTGACTACCCAAGTGCAGCCTGCAGCCCTGAGGTCACCAGTGGAGGCTTTTACCAACTATAGAAAGGAATACCACTGCAGAGCCAACCTTAATAACCTTTTGCCCAAGTTGCTGTTCTGAGCAAAGCCCCGTAATGGCTTACTGTGGTCCATTATCATCTGTTCCTGGCATTTAACATTTTATACTCAGAGCCTAAAAGGAACTCTGTTGGCATAGTGGGCAAGGCATTTGGCTGCTAACTAGAAGGTTAGTGGTTCAAATCCACCAGCTGCTCCACAAGTGGAAGATGAGGCAATCTACTTCCATAAAGATCTACAGCCTTAGAAATTCAATGGGCATCACTATGACTTGGAATCAATTTGATGGCAGTCAGAGCTTAGCCCTTGGGGTTTTTAGGGGATCTTTATACAGCAGCCTCTTGGATAAGATATATCAGAAAAAGGCTCCCCACTCTCAAATGGTCATCATTTGTGTTGTTAGGTGCTGTCAAGTCAATTCCAACTCATAGCAACCCTATGTATGACAGAACAAAACGCCGCCCTACCCACATGAAGAGATTTGGGATCAAGCCCTCAAATGAGTACATCAAAATCTCTCTAATACACAGGAAGCTGTATGTCTAAAAGCAGGTGATTGCAATGTGCAGTGAGAATGGAGAGCCCCTGAACACACCCCGATATAGCTCTCAGCAGGGTGAGCTTCAGCCTCCACCTCTGCCAAGCACCTTGGAGGGTGCAGAACTGCCCAGCTGTAAGTGAACCCCCACCCTCTCCTTGATTTCCCACTCCCACTGCAGGCCTCTGACTGTTGTCAGCTGATGTTGAGTTAGGCCTCTACTCATGGTGACCACATACACAACAGAATGAAACACTGTCTGGTGCACTGCCATCCCAATGATGGGTTGTAGATTGAACCAGGCCCTGAAGAAGCTGCGCTTATTCCCCCTTCCATGTCTTGGCTTGGAAGCACCCTGTCTTTCCTAATCCAACCCTCCTATAGCTTGGTCTTGGAGATCACAGTCCAAGCTTCTTGTTTCTGAAATGCCAAAAAGGGGAAGGACCTGCTGAGGTCACGAGGTCACACAGCTAAGACTCAAGCCCTGGTGTGGTAGTGACCCCTGTCTCTCTCTGAGTCCATCTCACTCATCAAGCTCATGCCCCTGTCCAGCACCTCTGTTCTGATCTCTGCTCAAACGCATCACCCCAAATAGGCTAGAGAGGGAGTTCCCAAACCATAACTTTAGAAATGAAACCTTACAAACCTTTCTAGAGGGTTCTAGACCCCTCTGCCAAGGCCTTTTCTAAGTCCCTATAGTCTTTTCTCTACCAAAGGACTAGTTTGGGTGAGGTAGGCTGGCTCCCCACTCAAGACTTCTACCCATTCAGAGCCTCGTGAACTGTGGGTTCCATGCTCTGGCCCTTTCTCTTCCTTGCTATCAACTCCTCCTCACTAAGGTGTGTGTGGTGACCACATGCCATGAGAGCCCCTTAGGGAGATCTACCTTCCACAGAGCTGATCCCTTCCCTGGGGGGACCTCTGCCTAGATAATGTGCCTGAGCTGCACAGCAAGCAAAGTGGGAGAGGTTTTGGTCCAGGGTGGAGAGTATCCGCCTGATGCTGGAGGCTGCCTCTTTGGTCCATGTGACCATCCACTTCCTCTAGGTACTGGGAGCCTGACCTGGAGAATAAACTCTGTGCTATACTACCAGCAGGCCCTGTGGTCCCCTGTCTGCTCCCCAGATGGCCCCATCTCTTCTGCTAAGAAGCCAAAAGGCCAGGGTCTTACCTCCCCATTCAGAAAACAGTAGAGAACAGCCACCACAAAGCCCTAGGGAGAGAGAGCAAAAATAACCTTAGAATGCTAGCAAAACATCTTCCAGAATACTGCACGGCTGTGGGTAGGAGGAGAGGAAACCCCAGGAAGCAGAGAAGTAACACTAGCTTAGTGAACTGAATGGGGGGGGGGGCATCTCTCCAGCGGTTTGGGGTAAGATGAGACAAGCTGTGCTCCATGAAGATGGGCACACTCATGAAGCCCAGTGGCTGGTCAAAGTCCCCCTCCCACTGTCACTTTCCCTTTCCATTTCCCAAAGGCCAGGTCTAGCCCACTTTCTATAGGAAACCCTCCCTGTATGTCCCAGCCCCCACTGGCTTCCCCTGAAGCCCCAGTCTTGAGAGTCTGAACTCCCACTGCAGCTGGTACTATTCTCTGGGTTCCCCAACCAGCCTGCAGGCTCCCTGAGGCCAGGACCCCATCTGTTTCTCTTCTGTCCCTCCAAGACAGAACAGACCTATGCCATCTTTATCCTCCACCACGTCCCCACTTTGCCTCCCTCCACCCAATGCTCTTAGACACAGCACACAAAAAACACCACATGGAGTAAGTACTTGGCCCAAGGTAGGTATTTAGCTCTGGTAAAGCATAGTGCCTAAGGTACTTGACTGCCAACCAGAAGGCTGGCGGTTCAAACTCACCAGCCACTCCTCGGAAGGAAGATGGGGCAATCTACTTCCATAGTGATACTGCCTTGGAAACCCAAGGAGGGGTCGCTATGAGTCGGGTCCGACTCAACGGCACATAACAACAACAACAACAGCATACAGGCATACCTTGTTTTAGTGTGCTTCACTTTATTGCACTCTGCAGATACTGTGCTTTTTTACAAAATTGAAGGTTTGTGGCAACCCTGCACTGAGCAAGTATATCGGCACCATTTTTCCAACAGCATGTGCTCACTCTGTGTCTCTGTATCACATTTCGGTAATTTACACAATATTTCAAACTTTTTCATAATGCTGTTGCACACTTAACAGACTACAGTATAGAGTAAACATGGAAACATGTTTTATGTGCACTGGGAAACCAAAGAAACTCATGACTTGCTTGATTGTGATACTCACTTTATTGCAGTGGGCTGGAACTGAACCCGCAATATCTTTGAGGTATGCCTGTATATTTTTTCACATCACCAACCAAAACAACAGAATTTTCCCAAATACTGCTTATTAGTTCCTCTCTGTTGCTGCCCCTCAAGATGTCTTTGGAGGCATTAGAGGAATGAAGATGCAGGCCCCAGGATATATCAGTGAGAGCAGAGATAGGAACCCTAGACTCTGACTCATATGCCAGGGTTTTGTCTCAAAAGCTCCCAGGATCACCAGGGCCAAGAACGCTGAACAGGTAAAATGGCCTTGATTTAAACTGAAGGCAGAGGAAGAATAAAGTCAGATGCAAAGAGTAACTTTCTGATCACGAAAATCAAATACTAATGGAAACAGTTGTTAGGGAGAGATGCTGTATCCTGGGGACTCTTGGAGAGTCACCCCTACTTCCATGGACCATCTCTTTCTTCACTCATTCATGTACTCATCATGCATTCTCTCACTGGCTCATCCACTCCTTCAATCACTTGTTTACAGCCCTATTTATTCCCTCCATCACTGAGTCACTGTTTCAGTCCCTGGCTCATTTATTTATTGATGCATTCATTTGCCCATCCACCTGTTCAGCTCCTTTTGCTCTCTGTGGCCATGTCCTTTGCTAGGGACCCCAATTTGGGTAAGAAGGAGCTCGAGCCCTTGCTAGGTACACAGTCTCACATGCCAAAGTCAGGCTGTGGACAGAGGTCTCTTGCAGACACTGCACAGGGCAGAAGGCGAGGGATGGAGAGCTGCCTCCTTAAACTGCCCAAGCGTGGCCTGGCTCAGATATCCCAGTGCATGGTCAGGAGACATTTGTGTGTCTTTCTACAGGAGCCTAGAAGGTAGAGAGAACAGAAAGGGCTCTCACAGCTCACCTCAATTCTAGTCCTCTTGCTTTAGAAGTGGGAACACTGAGACCCAGAGTCTAGGTTAAAGAAGTTTCTAGAAGAACCAGCAGGTCAGAAGCCACGTCCCTGGCGTCCTGTGAGTTCTGCCCTCCATGCACACCGGCCTACCTGGAAGGAGCCCAGCCCCAGCTCAAACACGAGTCTCTCCCTCTTGCTGACGTTCTCTGGGGAGAAGGCGAAGACTGTGTAGTGGATTCCAAATAGTGGGATGAGCAGCAGAGTGGAGCGTGCTAGCCGTCTGTCAGGAGAAAGAAAGACATCTGCTGGGGGGGTACTAGGGCTTGGCACCAAAGAAACAGAGGGTAGAGAACCCCAGCCCCAGGATATTCTTCTCCCTCAGAGCTGAGGGCCCATCAAGACCCTGCTAAGAGAGACCCAGATCATTCTCACCTAACCCAGCCAGCACAAGGGGCTTGGGAGAGATGGAGGCTGACAATGTGAAGAGCTACCCTGGGTTATTCTGGGGGGGACATCTCCCAGCCTTCAGGGCACCCCACCCTTAAGCCACATCTTATCCTGTAGAGGTCCCAAGAGTTGGGTGTCACTAACAGTGCACATGGAATATGTAGTTCACAGAGCCCCTGTGTGGTGTGCAGTGGTCAGGACAAAACCAAGGGATGGAGTAGGGAAGGCTTGAGGTATGTGATGCATCCTCCAGCAGAGCCAACATTCCCCTGCTCTGCAAAGAGGTCTCGTGTGTCTGAAAGAGTGGCCTGAGACAGAGACAGTGGGCTTATCTGAGAGTAGGACTAGATAGGGACACTCACTGGGCGATAGGAGGTGCTAACAGGAGTGAGAGGGAGTACACAGGGGCTGGGCCATAAAAGGAGCAACTTGGGATGAATTTCAGGAAGGACTTACTTATTCTGGGCATAAAGAACTGTAAGCTGAGTCGCAGGGATTTGCTGCCCAGGGAAGTGTGAGTCAGAGAAGATGTCTGCTCTGAGGTGGGGGGCAGGTAGAAAGGGTCCAAAAGGACCTCCATGCCTCCTGAGACAAGTTCTTCTCCTACCTGCAAGAGGCTCCTAGGCCCACAGTGGAGTAGGACTCTTATCTGAGGTTATAGGTCAGAGAAAGGCCCATGGTTAAGACTTCAAGAGTGTGTGCATAAGCTGGTGGACTGTGGTGGGGGAGAGTGCACCCAGAGGCCCTGCAAAGGTGGACCCCATCCTTGCCCACCCAGCATAGTGGTTTCTTCTGGATCTTTCCAAAGAGCCCAGCTTTGTGCTGAAGATGTGGTCAGCCCCATCTCTGTGCCAGCCCAGGCCCCTCTATGAGATGAGATGAGAATGAGAGGTCCAATTGGTCCTACAGGGATTGACAGCCATGGGATTTAGAGCAATTAAATCACCCTCCTCTCATCATATCTCAGAAAAATGTTCCCACAACCAGCTCTGATGCAATGTGGGGACTCTGGATTTCTGGAGAAGCTGAATCATGGACTTGTGTGAGGCCCTAGGCTTCCTAGTGCCTATTGAGAGAGGACAGAGGGAAAGGGAAGGGAAGAGAAGGGAAGAGGGGCGGTGATAATGAGGAGGAATGGCCTGAGATCTTTAGGTGGAGCCAAAGCTCAGCCTGGAAAGAAGAGGTCCCTAGAGTTGAGCATCTACTCCTGCTCTCAGGCTGCCTCAGATGTCTGTTGCCCACAAGAGACACATTCCACAGGATTTAAGGTCTGAAAGAGCCAGATCTGTCCTTTCATCCTACCTCTACCTGTCTTTTCTGGATCTGTGGCTCCTTGAATACAGGGGTGGTGCCTACTCATGTCTATTATCACCCATGGTAAGCATGAAGTTGACACTTGGAAAATGCCTGTTCCATGAAGGAAGGAATGAATGGACCACCAAAACCAAAAACTAAACCCACTGCCACTGAGTCAACTATAACTTACTGTGACCCCATGTGTGCCAGGGTAGAACTATACTCTGTAGGGTTTTTAATGGCTGATTTTCTGGAAGCAGATAACCAGGACTTTCTTCCAAGGCACCTGTAGGTGGGCTTGAACTGCCAACTTTTTGGTTAACATCTGAGCACTTCACTGTATGTGCCACCCAGGGACCACAGAGGCCAGAAAGGAAGCCTGGAGTCCATGAAACTGAGCATGGCTGGGAGGTCCATGAAGGCAGCTCAGGCCTTGGTCATTTCTGGGTACCCAGTGCCTGGCACCAGGTAGACAACAGGGAGTGTTTATAGAAGGAATGAACTCTGAAAAAAAAAAAGAAGAAAATGGCCTGGAAATGCATTCCCATGGACATCTTGGGTCAAGTCTGGATCCTGCCTAGAAGGATCACTTTAAAAGAGAAGCTTAATATAAGGATATAAGGAAGGCAAGTTGCCCTGGAACATGACTGTGGCATCAGCTCCTCCCTGCCTCCTTCCTTGTTTCCACTCCCACAAACAGGACCATGTCTGTGTATTTGTGCCTACAGTGTGCAAAGTGCCCTGGGAACTGAAAGGCCAAATCTCTCCAGCTTTCTTGGTGGCATCAAACAAAACAGACCCAGTGTGAATAAGGGCTCAATGGTGACTGACAGCAAAGGTATCCTATGATATGGTTTCAAGCCCTGCAGCAGCCCCAGTAAAGTCAGGAAATTATCCCATGGACCCAGGTCATCTCTGTTGTCCTATTGGCGGAAGGAACAGTGGGGTAGACAATGGGGTCTCTAGGACTCAGGAGTCTGGGACCTCTACTTCAGGGTTGATCAGAAACCTAGGAACAGGAACATGTGATCCCTCTTTGAGGACAATAACATGATCTGATTAGCTCAGAGAAACAGTGACAGAGGTCCTCCTGCCCTCGGGAGCCATCAGTGGGCAGAAGAATGCAAAATACCAGTAAGAGCTTCCACTGGTCAAAGCTGCCGAGATTACAGTGGGGTACCCAGGAAGGCAGTGACCTTCCCATTTACACAGATGCCTAAACAGAGGTTGATGCTCACTCCCAGAGAGTCATGTGGCAGAGCAGTTAGGAATCCTGGGTTCAAATCCTTGTCCTGCCAATCATGTACTCTTGTGTGAGTCACTTAGCCTCTCTGTGCTTCAGCTTTCTCGTCTGTAAAATGGGAATAACCCAAGTATCCACCTATTAGGGTTGTTGTGGGGATTAAATGAGTCAGTGACTACTTGGCACATAAGAGTGCTGTATCAGTGAAGATGTCCTGCCCTGTGCAGGAGGGACAGATTGAATGAACTCAAGCATAAGACTCTTAGAAATAATTTCACAGTTACAAAGACTGAAGCCCAGAGGAATGCTGGGATTTGCACAAAGCCACACATCACACAAGCTACAGGGCTGCAAGGGCCCAGCCCCAGAAGGATGGCCCATCAATGGCCACAGTTCCATCCTGCACCCTCCACTCCCACCCATGGCATTGGTTGCAGAGAACTCACGAGACACACAGAACGTCAACATGCAACAGCCAGAGGCAGGTCAGGCTGGGAGACACAGGCCTGCTCTCCACTTGCTTCCAGGCTGGTAGGACGCAAGCCTGAGGCAGCAGCAACACCATGCGTCCCCCTCCCCTCCAGGAGGCCCCAGCCACAGCCACGGCCATGCACACTTACAGAGTAATGGTGGACAGTTCTGACATCTTGCAAGAGTGCTGCTGAGCCCGCTGTGGCTTGCAGTAGCATTTCTGCACGCAGCTGCTGGGTGTGACAAGATTAGCACTTCTGTCAGCTGGGGCATTGGGACAGTGGAGGAACTGGGTCGGATTTAGGGCAGCACAGTTCAAGGGGAGGGTAGTGGAAAGGAGGGTGTATAAATGGTGCCAGGGCACTCGTGGGGAGGAGAACAAATAAGCTGAAGGCCAAGACAGGGTCAGCTCGGAACACAGAAATGCAGGCTCATGTGTGTGCATATGTGCTCTCTCTATCTCTCTCTCTCTCACACACACACACACACAGGAACTCACACACAATGACCAGAAGGTGGGGTGGGGTGGAAGTGAAAGAGTATGCTTGGAAGATGGGGCCTGGACTGAGTTTCATGCAGGGAGCCAGAGGTTGTCTACTTCCAGAGTCAGCTCCAAGCTCAGAGCACGGCCTTGCTGGAGGTCACTCAGTGAGATGGGTGGCTGGAAGCTCACGTCATGGCCCTCACAGGCTGTGTAGGGCCTGACTGAGCCTTGAATCAGGCCAGTTGGGAGCTTGGCTATGAACGTTGTCTAAGGTGTCCATGGTCTTGCATCCCTACACCACTCACTCTTCTCCTGCTACACCGTCCTACCACACCATCCTCTTTCTGGGCCCCCAAGTACTCAACATCAGACGTATGGGGGTAGCAAAGGTCTGGGTCTAAAAATGATTGTTAGTTAGTCTAGACCTGCACTATCTAATATGACAGCCACTACCCACATGTGACCCTTTGATTTTAATTAAAATGAAATAAAATTTAAAATTCAGTCTTTCAGTTGTACTAGCCACATTTCAAGGGCTCAGTAACTACATGTAGCTAGTGGCTACCATACTGGACAGGATGGACACAGGACATTTCCATCATTTTGGAGAGTTCTACTGGATAGTTACTGATTAAACTTAATACTAGTTCAACGGGCATGAAATGAGGCTGAGGAGCACCCCTGGACACTTCTCCATTGTCTCTAATATGGAGTCATCTTCTGGAAGGTCCACAGGTCGGTGGGCTGGGAGCCAGTCCAGCTCATTCTACTGGGATAGGCACAGAGCTTCCATCTCTCAGAGAGGTTCACACCTTCTACCTCTTCTAGTCTTCATTGTCCTGCTGATGCCTGCGTTGTCACAAGCTGTGGACACTTCTTCCCCTTCTCTGACAAACATGTAAATGGTAGATTAAGAGTGGTACCATCTTGTCAAACTCCAAAACAGGGTTGCCTACTTCATAAATCTTTCTTAGGGAGGCTCATGGAAGTTGCTGGTAAACTGATAAATCGGATGCTACAAATGAGAACAGACACACGCATGGACTTGGCATTCATGGATTTGTGATTCCAATCCTCTGAGAGCAAGCCTGAAGGTCCTCAACATGTGACGATGTGTCATTTGACTGAGGCAATGGCCCCTGTACATGCAGCCTGTGCCTCAGTTAGGTTTACTGTTCTGATTCATAAATGGGACCTTTCAATTCACACCATACTGTGAGGTAGACACTACTGTCCTCATTTTACAGAAGAAGAAAGTGAGAGATATTATGATGCTTTCCTACTCTGAGGTGGGCATGGGCCATCAGCATCAGCATCACCTGGGAGCTAGTTAGAAATACAGAATCTTGGGGCCACCTCAACCTGCTGACTCAGAATTAGGGATTTAGCAAGATCCCCGGGTGATTCACATGCATATGAGGGCTTGTGAAGAACTACTGTAAGGTGCTCAAGCATTTGAGAAGTTGCTTCACTGTGTCCTTAATGAATGTCAAAGGTTTGTTTTATACCTATGAAGACAACACATATAAGTATGTTGCTCTTGATAATTAAAAGAACGTAATGAGGCATTCCAAAATGAAAGCTGTTCTATTCTTCACATTTATTATCTATCTTGCTCAGAATTTGAAAAGCTAGATAGTCTCTTCTATAGTTAGTGACTCCTTTGTCCTTTATAGCTGACTTCATCCTTTGCCTGGGTAAACAACAGAAGGCAGGGCCCAGGAGTCGGTGATCCCCCAAACCCCAGGTGTTACCTCCTATGTGCCAAGTTTAAGCCCCCAGCCCCAAATTCTAATTACCTAGCCCTTCTCCCCTGGAATCTCTCTTAAGCTACAAGATTGTCGCTGCCCCTCCTGAGCCCTGAAAACTTTTGCAGTAAACGTAGATTCCTCTGGTTTCTTCAAAGTATTCTATAAATCTATGAGTGACAAGTTTGGTGGGCAATCCTGCCTCCTGGGAAAGAATGTGTGACTCTTATGCAGAGGAGAAGGGCATAACAAGGAACAGGAAGAGGCAGAAGGGAGGACCTTCTGGGAAGGGAAACCTGAGAGGCTCTCAGGGGAGACAGATCAAAAGGAAAAGGGAAGGAGGCCCTATCTCACACACTCCCCCTATCCCAAGCCTTCAGTGCCTCTGTGCAAAAGCCACGGACTCATGGAAAAGTAGTAGAACAAGATGGTGGGTGGGAAGCCAGAGTCCAGGGCGTGAGAAAGAAAGAGATGCCAGTGTCTGATGAGCCAGAACAATTAGTGAAAAGGGAAAAGGAATTTAATCAAGAGGAACAGAGAAAAGTAAGCTGGCTGATGATACAAATTTTAAGTTGGATTCAAGGGAAAACAAGAAACCCCAATGAGGATGCTGGGTTGGGAGCTGCATGGAGCGTGGTGGAGCATGAGGCAGAAGGTTGAAGATCCCACGACAGATGTAGTAGGGTCCATGTTCCTCTCTGAAGATCAGGGAGCCCTGGTTTCCAGATCTGGCCCTTCCATAGCTTTGCTGTGTGTCTACAGGGAAGCCACAGCCATTTCCAGGTCTCAGTGTCAACATCTACATCCAGAGACCTGGTCCATGGTTTCTGTGGGTCCCTGCTTGTCTATGTCTCAGGTCAAACACCAGTAATGCTTCAGTGCCCTTTGTGAGATGGGGTGCCAGGGACCTCAGAAGGGTTGGCAGGACCTTAGAGGGGGCTATGTGAAGGTTGCAGCCCTGTCTTATCCACCACGGTGGTCCTAATGATCAGCATAACTCTGGAGACTTGGCAGGTCCACATGGTGGTTTGAGTTGGACATTCTCCAAAAGGCATCCCTACCACCACCCCGTTGCTAAGCTCCTGTGTACCCCAGCACCCCAGCTCAGTGCCCAGGTAAGCACTCCCCATCACACTGCTACCCCAGCCAGAAGCACAGCTCAGCAGATCTTGACAGCAAGCATCTCAACCCAAGCCATCTGTGCCCCACGATAAGCTTGGACGATCCCAGCTGGGACATCAGGCCCCTGAGCTCAAGGCCTCATTTGGCCACTAACTAGCTGGGTGATCTTTTACGGTACCACTTTCCTTTTCTGGACCTCAGTTTCTCCATCTGAAAAATAGGTAACATTTCCCTGCTGCCAACCCCTAATAGGAGTTGTAAAGATGGGATGTGCTTAGGCTGAGAGTAGAGGAGATTTGGAAGTAGAAGGTGGTGCTCCACATGAACTGGGAGCCCCTGGCTGTGGGCTGAGTTCCTGGAGTGAGAACCTGCTGGCAGCACTTTTCCTACCTAGCCAAGGAAGAGTCTGTCCTTCGTAGGTGAGGACTGTCTCTCCTGACACTCAGTGCCATCACAACACTACTGGACAATCTACAGACATCGCAAGGTCTAGTCTCCTCTTCTTCCATTACCCTGAGGGGCCATGGAGGCTGTTCTGTGGGGCCCAAGGGAAGAGAATACAGATGGGCTCTTTCCTCCCCACCCAGATACAAGATGCCCCTTCCCAATGCCCACCTGGGAAAATGCACTGGGAATGAACACAGAAGTTGGGATCTCCCTGCACAATTGGCATTTGCCCCTGAAACCTCACCCCTCTCCTTTCTGAGCCCACTGGTACCTCAGAGATGTCAACTCTGCTTCCCCAAAAAGACAGGCTAATCCTGCCCCTGCCTTCAAATTTAACACTGACTTCAGCCTCAGGCTGAGCCATAACCCCTGCCCCAGACCAAGTCTGACACCAAGCAAGGCCAGCCCCTGACCCAGACCCTGACTCTGTCCTATCTCGAGCCTCTGCTCAAGTCTGACCCAGCCCTACACCAAGCCTGCCCTTGGCCAGTCATTCAACCGGAAGCATCAAGTGAGAGAGTATGATGGCTCAGTGCCACCCTCTCCCCAGAGGGCCCCAGCCCCCAACAGGTCCTTCTGAGGCTGGGTCAGGAGCGCTGTCTTGGTCTATGGAGGACAAGCCCTTTATCATCTGAGCAGCTGGAACCAACCTACAGGAAAGGGAGTGAATGCTGGTCTGAGGGCAGAGGCAGGGGATCCTCTCGGGTTTTCTTGGGGACTCCCAGGCTTAAATTTGTTCTGGAAACAGAGGAAAAAAATTGGAGAGCTGTTGTGGGCAGATCTGAAGAGGCTTCTCAGCCCAACATATAACTCTGGGCCCCAAAGGGCCTTGGACACCTGGAATCTTCCTCTCCCACCATGCTCTGCCCTTTCCAAGCCCCGACACCCTCACCAGTATAGACACCTCCCAGCTCAAAGACAACTCCTCTAGCAAGCATTCTGGGCTGGGGGACATTTTTACATAAGGCTAGAACCCACCAGGGACTAATCTTCCGGGAAACCTTATTTGTATACTTGTTTTATACCATCTTCCCATCTGTAAATTCCTTGAGGGCAAGAATGATGGTGTAGTCAAGCTTGGAATCAAGGGCCTGCCTGCATTCCAGCTATGTCTTCACTCCTTCCTACCCAAATCATTTCACTACCCTGATAATTAGTTCCTACAATTGTGAGATGGAGATTACATTTTACAGTTGATGTCCTATCCCACCAGATTTACTGAGTGCTTGTGAGCATTAAATGTGCATGAGCTGAATTGCAAGTGTTTTTAAGTGCCGTGCAGTTCTCAGCAGCACTATCATTTTTATTATAGGCTCCTTTCACCAACAGGGTCTCCTTGACCCTGGAAACACTCACACAAGCTGCTCAATTCAAAGGCATCAAGTTGCTGCCCTGTCTTGTGTGAGTCCTCCCACCTGGCTTACAGACCACACCCGCTCAAGTTTTCAATCTTTGGGATTTAAGACTAGCAGAGGTTGGGCTTTCTGTAAAGAAAATATCTGCTGAGATTTCAAAGGGTTAATTTAGATTCTAGAAGGAAACCAACCAGTTGGCTCTTTAAAATGACTGGGGCATACATCACCTTCCTGTATATAAAACATGTGCTAGTTGCAAATGGTTCATATCTGTGTAGTAGGAAGGCCTGATAATACTCTATAGCTCCCAATCTGTGGATAACTTGAAAATCATAGCCCCATATTTCTCTACCACCAGACCCTTGGGTGTTCTTGCTGCCTGGGGCAGGATGCCTGAGCTGATGAAGTAAGTGCTGGGCTTCAGAGAAAAACAAAAACAAAACCAACCAGTTGCCAGCAAGTTGATTCTGACTCATGGTGACGCCATGTGTGTCAGAGTAGAAGGGAGCTCCATTGGGTTTTCAATGGCTGTGACCTTTAAGAAGTAGATGGCCAGGTCTTTCTTCCACAGATCCTCTGGGAGGACTTGAACCAACCTTTCGGTTAGCAGCCAAATGTGTTAATCGCCAAGGCTCAGTATAGTCTCCTTATTTAGAGCCTCTATGTATGTCCCTTCACTGGCATAGAGGAGAACACTGAAAGGGTCCACAAAGAAGTCATCTCAGGGGATCTCAGAAGAAAGAGATCCTACCAGAAAGGGAAAGGACTGAGGCAGCCAGAGCTCAAATCAGATGTGAGACTGACTTAGCTACCCATGTCTTCAAATGCTGGCGATGACGACTGCTGATGGAGGACCCAACCCATCTACATACCTCAGATTCACAACTAAAAAGGAGAAGCTGAGGTCACATAAAGGTAGTTTCCACTAGAAAAGCAGGTAGGGGTAGTGGAGCCCTGGTTTTTAAAAATCTTAGGGAAGAAATCAGGAATAATCTCTCCTGCGCTGATTAGTTAGGGACAGAAGACTGCCTCCCTGGCCCTCCGGTACAGGCCTCTGAGACACTGTGACTGGTATGGATGAACTATTTTCTACTATATAACATATGCACAAGCAGAGAATTTGGTGAAACTTGCAAAACATGAAGAAAGAAAAAACAATAAATGGAAAGAAAAAAGAAAAAAAGTCTTTTCCAATGTAATGGAATCATCATGCACATAGAGAAAATGTCACTGAACCACCCAGGCCCTGTGCCAATTTCCCACCCACAGGGGAAGGGCTGGACAGACAGACTAAGAGCATGGACGCCTCATCTATTTCCAGGGGAAGATCTGGGATTTGATCTCTGAGAAGCTCATGACATCCCTTCTTCTAGGAGAATGGCTGGGTGGTAAGGAGCTCTCTGCTGGGGTCCCTTTCTGCCCCACTTTTTGTCCCACTAGGCAGTCATCAAGGTTCTGAGACTGAGGTTGGGACCGCTAATGAAGGTAAGACCAAGCATCCACTGATGCTGTGAAACTATCCTGGATCCTTCTAATTTCCTGTTTTCTGAAGGAACTGAATAAGTAACACATATGGTTCTACAGTGTCCATGGATGGACTCCCAGAGACTGTCCCCAGGATCAGACTATGCCCATCTGGCCTCTCCAGCCAACCACAGGGGACAGATCTTCGTCCTCAGCATCAGAAATGCCCCAGCTGGTCATGATACCCCTCCTGAGGCCAGAGAGATGAGGTAGAGGAGCTCCATGGGATTTCAGAATGGGACAAATGCTAAGAGAAGGATGGAAGAGAGCAAAGGAGGGAAGAAATTTCTCAGGACAAACTGTTAAGGACATGACTTCAAAGATGTGTCTAGAAAATCAAATGGCCATGAAAAGAAAAAGCTTTACATTCAATGTCAAAAAATTGCCTGCAAACCCCATCAATCCCAAGCAAATCAGATTTTTTTTTTTTTTTCCCCCCCAGGGAGAAGGAGATTGCAGAAATAGGATCAGACACAGAAGTGGAACCATCCTGAAGGGAGGTGGAAAAGAGAAAGAACCGTTCCCTTCTCACACCCAGACTGGCTCTCCACTGGACCCTGAGCAACTCTGGCACACTGGCCTGGGGCTGGAGATATCAGACAACTGTGTATCCAGCAGTATTTATGATCTTCCCACAGACACTAGATCCTCAAAGGAAATCCAACTTCTAAACAACCAAGACCTCAAGAACCCTAGGGAATCTGGTGTTTTCCATCTTGATTTTTCTAGTCATGCAAGATCTGTCTCTTTCTCTCTTTTCCTTTCCATGGAATGACCATGCAGATTAGGAGCTCCTGGGTTGGCTGGAAGCTGGGAAGGCAACTATGTTTTGAAGGCACTTTAACCAGAAAAAAAAAAAAATCTTGCAATTGCCCATACTAGGTCATACTAGGTCATCAAATTCCAGGCCTTTTCCTGCCTGTGACCTGAGTGTGGGGCCCATGGGACTGGTGGGAGTGGCTGAAGCGTCTACACAATAGTACTTACAAATAGATGCTGGACTCGTTGCCTCCCATGTCTGGAGATTGAAGTTTCTGCACAAGGATGACGATGATGCCAATGAAAAGGATAAAGTTAACCTAAGGAGAAAAGAAAAAATAGATGGAAATGATTCTGGGGGAAGACTCTCCATACCTGTCCCTCTGCATAGGCTGCTATTCCCTAACAGAGCCCCTACCCCTACCCCTGTCAAGATCCCATCTAGACTTCTAATTCAAGATGGTGGCATAACAGCATTTGTTTATCTCCCCAGCCTACACCAATATCATTGAAATGACAGAAGAGAGAGAAGAAAAAGAATCCTGTAATAGTACTAGAAAACAGAAAAGAGTATCCTAAGTAAACAGAAAACTGAGCAATATCCAGAAGAGAAAGAACAAATGGGTTCAGGATGATGGAAAAACTACAACCCAAAACATAGAGAAGAGGTAATTGCAGTGGTGAGAGCTCTGAAGAAACTCCAAGTTCAGTGTCATGGAATATGGGCAACATGAATGGACAACTGTAACATTACTAATGAAAGGGCTGCCTGCAGAATAGTGATAGCAGCAGGTGCCTTCAGAAAAGATCAAGAACAAAAGCTCTCTACACAAAGTGGGATGTTTATGGTGAAAAGGCTGGAGGGAGGGAACAAATAAACAGAAACTAGTTTATTTATTTTTATCTTTGGGATGTGGACAAAGTAGAACTCAAGAGAAAAATGGGGAGCCTAGCTCTGCTGGCATAGTGGGTAAGGCATTTGGCTGCTAACCAGAAAGTTGGCAGTTCAAACCTACCAGCTACTCCTCAGGAGGAAGATGAGGCAATCTACTTCTATAAAGATTTACAGCCTTGAAAACCCAAAGGGGTCCCTTTGAGTCAGAATCAACTCAATGGCAGGATAAAGTAAAAAAAAAAAAAAAAAAGTAAAAATCTAACTTATTAAAGAAGACTATTGAAAGTAAAATAATTAAACACTCAAATGAAATAACTATGTAAAACTTACCATAAATTTAATATGTAAAAGGAAAAGAGAATTAATAATGATAAAAATTCATGATAAAGAAATAGTAGACTTGATCAATAAAAATACTCTTAATTTTTGTTTTGTTTGTTTCACAGAGCAATTAGAAAAATAAAGCACACTTCAGGAAGGCAGGATTCTGACATCTTGTTCTCCTTGTTCTCAGTAATCTACCTAGAATACAGCTCACTGTATACTGCTAAATGCATGTATCCATCAATCAAAAAGGAGAAAATGCAAATTAAACAAATTTAGGGATGAGAAAGAGGGCGAGACAATCTATATGGACAATATTTTTAAATCATAAAAAGAAAATCAAACAAAATGGGAAATATAAAGTAACAAAATTAACTCAAGAAGATGTAGCAAATCTCACTAGACCAATGACTTCAGAAGAAATTTAAAAAGAACTGAAAGAATGCACTAAAAGTCACCAGGGCCAGAAATTGTAGGCCAGTTTCATAAAGCCTTCCAGGAAGATATAATTTACATGCTCTAAAATTGTTTCAGGAGCTCTGGTAGCATAGTGGCTAAGGCACTTGCCTGCTCACCAGAAGGCTGGCGGTTCAAACCCACCAGCCACTCCTCAGAAAGAAGGTTGGGCAATCCTACTTCCGTAGTGATACTGCCTCGGAAACACAAGGAGGGGTCGCTATGAGTCAGGTTTGACTCGACGGCAAACAACAACAGAATTGTTTCAAAGCAAATAAACAGAAAATCTCCCAAATTACCTACCCATGAGGATAGTAAACCTTGCTACTAACCCAGACAAGGGTAACACACACACACACACACACACATACATAGAATGTAAGAACAACAGTGCAAAAACTCTAAGTAAAATATTAGTAAATAGAATTTAGCAGTGTATTAAAAGAACAAACATCATGGCCATAAAGTTTTATCCTAAGAATGTTTAAAAATACACCTACTAATATTTGTTAATGAACAGATTGAAACAATAAACTACCATTATCCTCTGTTTAATATTATATAAATATTAAAATGGTCAATAATACAAATGCTGACAGTTATGGGAAATGACACTTTGGAACCCTCTCTCCTCATGGAGGGCAATAAGTTATCCATGAAAATGTTCAATGTATACATACTCTTTGTTCCCATAATTTCACTCCTAGGGATTTATTAAAAAAAAAAAATTCACATGCTCAAATATATGCATAGATATATTCACTCTGGCATTGATCATTAAAAAAAAAAAAAAAAAAGCCATTGCCACTGAGTTGATTTCAACTCACAGTGATCACACAGGACAGAGTAGAACTGCCTCATATGTTTTCTCAAGGCTGTAAATCCTATCTTTCTCCCACAGAGTAGCTTGTGGGTTCGAACCATCAATCTTTTGGTTAACAGCCATATGCTTTAACCACTATCCCACCAGAGCTCCTTAGCATTGCTAATAGTAAAGAAAAATCAGAATATTATATATGTTAATCACTACGGTAATATTTATTTCAATATATGACTTCAAATTACATTTGATAAAATTCAACACTCATTCCTGATTTAAAATAAAGAAAAAAATACACACTGAAACAAGTTAGAAATAGAAATTTCCCTAACTTAGTCAAGGTTAACTGCCAAAACTCAGGAACATGGCCACAGAGGACATCAAGCTCAACTGGCATAACATACTGCACAAAAACATTTTTCTACATCCTACTCTGGTGAGTAGTAAGTGGGGTCTTCAAAGCTTGTGAGCAGCCATCTAAGTGCAGCAATTGATCTCTCCTCATATGGAGCAAAGAAGAATGAAGGAAACCAAAGATGTATGGAAATAGTCTACAGGACTAGTGGACCATGCAAACCTCAGCCTACATGACCCTGAGAACAGAAGAACCAACGGTTCCCAGCTACACTGTCAACCCTTGGAAAGTGATCAGAATAGGAGATCCTGGATAGAATGGGGGAAAATGTGAAACAAAACTCAAAATCACACACACACACACACACACACACACGTGTGTGTGTGTGTGTGTGTATAAAAGACCAGGCTTATCGCTCTTAAGAGACTGGTGAAACCCCTGAGACTATGGCCCCAAGTCACTCTTCAGGCATGGAATTGAACTCACACCCGTAGCTTCCAGACAAACAGTAGAACAGGTTTACAAGGTGAACATTTATACCAGGTAGGTGCACTCCTTAGAAAAATCAACTGTGGAAGATCAGAAGGTCAGCATCTGCACAGGGAGACAGCTCAGAGGGCAGGAATGCATAGGAAAGAAGGACACAGGGAAAAGGTCACCAAAGGGAGGAAGTAGAAGAGACCTGTTACATTATGGGGATTACAATCAATGTCATGAAGCTAAACATGTATAAATGGTTGAATGGAAAACAAATTTGCTCTGTAAACTTTCACCCAAATCACAATTAAAAAAAAGGGGGGGGGTAACTGCCAAAAGCTATAGCAAACATCATCCTCAACAATAACAAGGAATAAAAGGTATAAATATTTGAAAGGAGGTACAAAAACTATTTTTGTTCAAATTATATAATTTTTCTACTGAGATAATCCATAAGAACCAAATGAAAAGTAATTAGAACTAGGAATAGAGTTCAGAACGGTAACCAAGAAAAAAAAAAATACACAAAAACCAATAGCCATCCATAGCTACTTAAGTTGGCAGAGTAACCTATTAGAATATATATTGACAGAATGATCCCTGTTGTTGTTGTTTTTATGTGCCAGAGAGTCAGACTCGACTCATAGCGATCCCTCCTTGGGTTTCCAAGGCAGTATCACTATGGAAGTAGATTGCCCCATCTTCCTTCCAAGGAGTGGTTGGTGGATTTGAACCGCCAGCCTTCTGGTTAGCAGTCAAGTGCCTTAGCCACTACGCTACCAGAGCTCCCAGAATGATCCCTAGAGCCAATAAAAGCATAAGCTGAAAAATACCTTAGAGGTAAACTTAACAAGAATAAGAAAGAAACCTACAAACATTTACCAAAATGACTCCATGAAGGGAGACTGAATAAATGAAAAAACATGCCATGTTCTTAGAGAGGAATACTCAATATTTTAAGAAAATCAATTCTCCAAAATAGTCTATAAATTCAATGCAATTTCTATAAAAATCTCAACCAGAGTATTTTGAAACTTGACAAGGGTATTCAAAAGTTCATCTGAAAGAATAAATGTGCAAAACAAATTCTGAAAAGAAAAAAATAAATAATGAAGGAGAAATGAACATTCCAGATATCAAAACATACTTCGAGGTTATAGTAACTAGCACAATGGAGAATTAGCAGTATTAGCCATGAGAATAGGTAAATAGATTAGTGACACAGAATTGAGAGTCTGGAAACAAAGGCAAGTACAGCATGTTGAGTGTTTATGATAAAATGCCATTTCACTATAATAGAGAAAGGATGGACTGAAATTCAATAAAAAGGATCGAGACGGTGGAATGGGTATCCATTCAGGAAAAGAGCATAAAGTTAGATATCATTTCAGACCAGGCAAAGAAATAAAATTTCAGCTGGATTATACATGTACATGTAACAATCCAATCCATGATAGTATTATAAAACAATTAAGAAGAATATTTTTATCTTTTAGACTGGGAAAGTTCTCCATGAACAAGAAAGAAGGCTCAGAATTCCTAAAGAGAAAAGCTGACAGATTTGACTGTAGAAAAGCTATGTAGTCTTGGAAATGCACTTAAAATGTGTGTAATGGATGAGGGGTTACTTTTGTTCATACAGTAAGAAAAACAACAATTTGCTAGAAAAATAAGCAAGAGAAATAAACAGGTATTATACAGAATAAAAAACAAACTGAGTCAATAAATGCTTGAAAAAATGCTGAGCTGTACTAATATGCAGAAATGCATATTAAAACAATGAGTTACCATTATCCCCTAATGAGATTATGTAAAAATTTAAATGATTATTACAAGTGGTTTGCAATTGGCAGCTGAGTGGTTGTGACTGGGAGTTTGAGCCCACCCAACAGTGCCATAGAAGAAAGGCCTGGCAATCTGCTTCTGTAAAGATTATAGCAGTTCTACTTTGTAACGCATGTAGTTGCCATGAGTTGGAATCGACTCATTGGCAATGGGTGTTTTAGATTTGCGTGTGTACATACACACACATATATACACACACACAATGACATCAGGAAATAGGCACTACCCTTCTTGTGAGGATGTAAATACTTAAACAGTTTTTAGAAGGCAATTTAGTACCTGAAATTTTAAATGCATACCCTGTTTGACCCAGCAATTCTACTTCTAGGCCTTTTTGCTAATGAAAGATTCACACAACCTCAAAATAATGCACAAAAATACAGTAGGTTATCGCATAATAAAGAAAAATGGAATAACAGAAATGCCCAACACAGGGGGAGAGTTAAGTAACTGAGGTACCATATTACAGGCTAGGACACAGCCGTGAAAGAGGAGGTGTTAGTTTGTGTGATGATCTTTCATTTCCTCTCCTCGTGTGCTTTTCTGCCCAGGTCCCTGTCTCTTCCCTCTTCCTCCTCCAAAGAACACTCACCATTATTGAGCCGACCACAGGGCCTTTAATCACCCACCACAGAGCTGTGTTGTCGTTCATATCCCAGCAGCTGAAAGATGGACAGACGAAAGAGATACAGACGTAGAAGAGAGATCGTGCCCAGGGGCCAGAACACTAGCAGGGCAAGGTCCCCCACTCCCTGGGTGTTGCCTTCTCCTGCCGCTCCCCATGGGGGTGCTGGCTGGAAGAAGATCTCTCAGGCAGCTGCAGCCCCAGTGTAGTCCTTTAGATTTTTCAGGTGCCCTTTAGCTGAGCCTTGGTTTTTCCCTCTGCTACCCTGGCAAGGTATCCCTACTCCACTGCCTGCTTACGTTGCCTCTGGAGAGAAAGAGCAGGGAGTGGAGCCCAAGTCAGGGATCATCAGTAGACTCCTGGAAAAGGGCCTGTTTTCCTTAGACATGGGCTTTCCAGGGTGCGACCCCACCCTCCACAGTTTTCCTCCCCTCCTAAAAAGGAAAACAGACACTCCTGAATCCTAGAAGCAGAGAGAGGCTCCCAAACCTTGCACATTCTCTCGTTGGGCTCCCAATTAAGATGTCTGACTGGGTCCACTGAGGTGGGCTTAGGGCTTAGTCAGTAACTAGAGCTAGGGGTTCAGTCTAGGCCCAGAGTTAGATGGTTTGTTTGAGACAGTTACCCTGAAATCAGGTCAGTCACTGAGAAATCCTCTGGAATAATCTATCTGTGTCCTGGGCTCTGTCTCACAGAAATATACTCACCCCGTGTCATCAAAGTAGAGCCTCAGCATAGCCCATACTGTCACACACACAGTTGGGGTCCCTGGTAGAACAAGAAAAGGAGTCTCAAAATAGCAGGAAAACCATATGGCTGAGTATGTCCCTCAGACTTGACACTCCAAGGAACCATCGTTCCCCTCAGACTCATGGCTGTGATGGGTGGGGACATGCCTCCCTCTCAGACCTGGGGACCTAATTATCCCTCAGATCCAGGCCTTCTAGGGCTTCATGTCTCTCCTTAGACTCAGAGTTCCCAGGAGCAGTACCAATCTTGCCTCTCAGATGGACTCCCATGCCTATTTGCTCCCTCAGATAGTGGGTTTCCTGAGGGGAAAAAAAGCAAGTGTGGGGATCCAAGAACCAGAAGTCTGACTCAGCCTAGGGAAACCAAAGGCATACCAGACCATGAGGCTCAAGTCTATCTGGCCACAGTAAGCAACCTACCCCAGCCGATAATGGTGTACCAGTAGAAGTATCTTCTCTCAGGGAAGAAGGTCTCCACCAGCAGGGTAAAGAGGTACAGGCCCTCAATGAACAGCCAGAAGTAGTTGGACACCACACAGTAGTGGAAGAAAACCATGATGGCCTTGCATTCCACCTGCAGGAGAGCCTCAAGGTCAGCCCCATGACAATCCAGCTCAACAGGACCAGCCCTTCAACACTGGTGTACAAAGACTAAAATATCCAAAAGATCTGAGAATTAACATTCTGGGATTTGAAGGGTTTAACATTCCAGCCTCCTAGGATCCTGTGAGATGAAGCTCCCCATGGAGGCACAACTACACATGTAAGGAAAGGAAAAGGGTGGGCGTACAAACACAGTTGCCTTCCCCTTCTAAGGCCTCACATTCACTCTCCTCCTATTTTCCTGCCCCTGCCCCCAACTCCCACAGATGAAGCAAGCAGGAAGAGAAACAGTGTGTGGTCCCTTCAGGAAGGTCTCAGTGTAAAGAGGATTCAGACATTGCACAGGTGAGAGATACCTGGCCCTCAGGAATCTCTCTCATAGATCAAAAACACCCATTGCTATTGAATCAATTCCAACTCATCAAAGTGTGCCTGCTCAGGACAAGGCTCTGAACTCTAGACTTCTTTTTATCCTTCCACATCAAAGCTCATCTTCTCCGTGCACCATCTCTTCCACAGGTATGAGAGTTGAGGTGTGGCCTGACAGAGACCCCAGCAAATTAGCCCCTCAGTGCCATCATGGGCTAGTTAAGGAACCATGATAGGCCAGTTAAGGGCCATGACCAGGAACTAGGTAAGCCCTTGTTCTGAGCCTATTTCTTCATCAGTCAAATGAAATGGGACATTCCCATCTTACCTTCCTCAACCGTTCTGCCAAATAAAACACACACCAGAGAAGTGGGTAACATCTTGGCTAGAAATGATGTCATACAGAGGTTTACTGGCTACTAATAATTTTATAGGAGTCCCTGGGTGGTGCAACGGTTAATGTGCTCGGCTGTTAACTGAAAGGAGTCTACCCAGAGACACCTTGGAAGAAAGTCCCGGCTATCAACTTCTGAAATCCCAGCCACTGAAAACTCTATGGAGCACAGTTCTACTCTGACACACATGGGATTGCTATGAGTCAGAATTGATTTGAAGACAACTGGTTTGATTTGTAATAGCTTCATGGGTTGCTCAGGGTTTCCATGTCAACTGGGGGCAATGCCTTTCTCTTCAGGAAAACACTGGGATGGTGAAGTGTCAGGCAGCCAGGGAGACAGTTCTCCTGATGGGAGGTTGGGGAGCCTTCCTGGCAGGGGTCCCTGAAGGCTGGCCTCTGGCCTGAACCTTCAAACCCACACTCTGGCTCAGTTCACTCACAGTGGAGATGAAGCAGTGGTTGTTGTCCTGTTCTGCATACAGGATCCAGTCTTTGATGAAGACGGAGATCGCCCTCAACATGAACGACACAAACAGGTTCATATGGATGAAGTTGCGAGTGCAGTGCAGCTTCCTACACAAGTGGGCCAAGGAAGGAGGAAGCAATAAAGCAGTGAACCTAGGAGCATTTCAAAATCTCAACTCTGGGGTCTGCCCAGTGCCAACTCCAGAGTTTTGTCACAATGGGATCTCCCACCCCCTCTTCCAGCTCTCTAGATCCCCACTCATTTCCTGGCCCCTGCAATCTGGCCTCAGTGTTCCATTTGGCCAGACTTCCTCCCTCTTATGACTTCCCTCTATACTAGCCAGAAAAAAAGAGCCCTAGATCAAAAGTGAGGAAGGTAGGACTCTTTGCTCTGATTCTGCCTTGCTGTGTGGCCCCAGACAATTCAATTGCCTCTCTGGGGTCAAATTTCCCATCTGTTATCCTAGGGGTGGGGGAAATATTTTCCAAAGGATGTTCTAGGTCTGACATAAGGGGGACAGACAAGTGGGCTGGGAAAAGATAGAGCAAGGCCTGCTTCTGAGGCCCCCATCACTGGCTCTGAGCATGGGTGGGGCTACAGGTGTACCAATGCTACTGGGGGTCTCACCGAAAGCGACACAAGATGACCATGGCAGTGGTGAGGGTGACGAGGGATGTGCTATAGCCAACCGTGTACAGGGCCTTCACCGACAAGTAGTAGTAGTCCTGGAGCAGAGCACAGGATATGGGGGTTCCACGTGATGCCTTGCAAGGACCAGGCCACCTAGTCTCCCCCCTTGGAACCACACCCAGCATCCCAGCACCCTTCTCCAAAGCCAGGACTCGCCCACCTCCAGCCTACTACTCATCTCCTCCCACTCTCAGCTCCTCCACACCCACATGAGTACCACCACCACCACCACCACCACCTGCACTGAGCTACTTACTCCTCTCTGAATAGTGCCAGGCACACAGAAGAGGCTTGATAAATGCTTGTTGCATGCAAGGATGATATTCTAGCATGGCAGGGGCAGTGACCAGTCAAAACTGGCACCAGTCTTAGAGCAGGAGAGACCAAGACGCCCCCTAATAGGCCCAGCATTAATCCTTCAATTGCTAGATCTTTTGGAAGCCAGGTGTCCTGGAAGAGGAGCCAGGGAGCCAGGGTGGTGGAGGACACATGGTGGGTGGTGGGGTGGGGAAGGGAGTTCAAGTAGCATACCAGCTATTTCTCTCAGCCCAGGCTGAATGTGTGAATGTCCTGCCCTCAATCAGCACATATGGCTTGATTACACAGCAGGTGACAATGAACACTGGCAGAATTGCATACACTGCCCAGAGAATTGAGTTCATTGCAGTTCCACCAGGAGTCAAGGTCCCTGGGAAAACACCCCCCACCATGCCCTACACCCCTACCCCTCCATCTGGGAGCCCAGACAGTTACCTGGTCCCCAGTCTCAGATTCATATTCATCAAACCCACAAGCATCAAAGTAGTGAGGGAGTGGCTCGGACCAGCCATCTTCCGTGCAGTTCCGGCTCACTACCCCCATGTCTGCAGTGAACAGAGAACTCAGTAAGGCACAAAGGCACTTCACAGGGCCCTGCAATTCTTATTAGAAAATCACTTCTAAAGTGGGAATTCCTGGAAACCCCTATGCCCATCTAGGAAGCATGTGAACTGAAAGTCCAAGAAATCCTCCACTGTCTGGGGAAATTAGTGACTGCTGATGGCATTTGACTGCTAACCAGAAGGCTGGCAGTTCAAACCCACCAGCCACTCCTCAGAAGGAAGATTGGACAATCTACTTCCATAGTGACACTGCCTCGGAAACCCAAGGAGGAGGTGCTATGAATCGGATCCAACTCAATGGCAGTGAGTTTGGTTTTTGGTTTTTGAGGGCCTGGAGCTCATGACCTCAACCTTTATTAAGGACACCTCGGGAGGCTGGGGGTGTACAAGAAGTAAGCTGATATCTTAACAAGGGGTGAGAGGACCAAGCCGGCCTGATCTAGCAGCACTGCATCCCTCCCTTCTGGAACTAGCACAAGTCCACCAGGGCAAGGCTTGAGCCCTTAAGGCAGCACTTCTCAAACTTCAGTGTGTGGAACCACCCAGGAGACTCAAAAGCAGTTTCCTGGCCCAACTCCCCCAGGGATTCTGTTCAAAGGATCCTGAGGTGAACCCCCAGAATCACCTCAGGGGACTGTGAGTGGCCATCCTTCCCACACCTTTAGAAACACAGCTTCAGGTGACACTTGTACCTGGAGCTTTGGGCCTTCCGGCAGCTGCAATATCCTCACTGCCTACAGGGACAGATAGATGAGGACCTGGCCTTGGTGCTTGGTGAACATGTCACCAGACCTCCACTAACCTACCACAAGATCTGATTAAGATATCTGGTTAGGCTTTAAAAAAAAATAAAAAATAAGTTTTGCCTTTCAAAGGGCTTGGGATTTGTTTCCTGGTCTGTAATTTTCTTATGATCGACTTTAAAGGCAATTTTGTGGGGAGGGGGCGGAACCAGTTGTGGCCATCAAGAGTCATTTGCTGGCTGCGGAGTGGGACTCAGCTATTTTTCTGCTCTGCCTGAGGCTGTTTTAGGCTTTAACAATTGTTTCTTGCATTCCCTGATGGTCTGCAAAAGTGGGCCACAGATGTCCAGGGAAGGGGAGTAAGCAAGCAGCCCCCTTTAGCTCCATTGCAGCACCTGTTCCCAGACTGCTGCCCAGGGAGAGTACCTAATACATTAGGACACGAGATAAGCTCACTTTATAAGCAGGTGCATGGGGTTGGTTCTCCCTTTTATGTTGTTGCTAGCTGCCACTGAGTCAATGCCAATTAATGACAACCTCATGTGTGCAGGGAGTTTTGCTGCTGCAGTGGTCAAAGCAAAAGGTTGGTGGTTCAAACCCATCAGCTGTTCTGTGAGATGAAGATGAGGCAGTCTGCTTCCATAAAGATTTACAGCCTTGGAAACCCTATGTGGCAATTCTGGTCTGTCCTATAGGGTTGCTGTGAGTTGGGATCAACTCAACGGCAGGAAGTTTTGTTTTTGGTTCTTGTGTTCAAAGTGAAACTGCTCCATAGGGTTTTCAAGGCTGTAACCTTCAGAAGCAAATCACCAGACCTCTCTTCCAAGGTGCCTCTAGGTGGGTCAACCACCAACCTTTGGTTAGTAGTCATATGCTTAACCATTTGCACTACCAGGAACTCCTCTCCCTTTCATGTTGTTAGGTGCCATTGAGTTGATTCCGACTCTTAATAACCCTATATACAACAGAAAGAAACTGCCTAGGCCTGTACCATCCTCACAATCATTACAATCCTTGAATCCATTGTTGCACTATGTCAACCCATCTGGTTAAGATTCTTCCTCTTTTTCACTAACCGTCATGGTATCCTTCTTCATCCTGATAACATGTCCAAAGTATGTAAGATGAAGTTACACTATCCTAACATCTAAGGAGCATTCTGGCTGTACTTCTTCCAAGACAGTTTTTGTCATCCTTCTGGCAGTCCCTGGTATATTCAATATTCTTCACCAACACCATAATTCAAAGGCATCAGGTATTCTTCACTCTTCCGTATTCACTGTCTAGCTTTCCCATGCATATGAGGCTACTGAAAATACCACGTGGGTGAGAAGCACCTCAGTCCTTAAAGTGGCATCTTCTTTTTTAACACTTCAAGGAAGTCTTTTGCATCAGATTTGCCCAGTGCAATATGTCATTTGAGTTCCTGACTACTGCTTTCATGAGTGTTGATTGTGGATGAATACTTTTTGTTTATCATGTTGTAGTTTATTGGTCCAGTTGTGAGGACTTTTGTTTTCTTTATGTTGAGGTGTAATCCACACTGAAGACTGTAGTTTTTTGTCTTCATCCGTAAATGCTTCAAATGCTCTTTACTTTCAGCAAGCAATATAGTGTCATCTGGGAGCTCTGGTAGCATAGTGCCTAAGGCACTTGACTGCTAACCAGAAGGCTGGCGGTTCAAACCCACCAGCCACTCCTCGGAAGGAAGATGGGGCAATCTGCTTCCGTAGTGATACTGCCTTGGAAACCCAAGGAGGGGTCACTATGAGTCGGGTCCAACTCGACAGCACATAACAACAACAACAACAAGCATACCACAGGTTGTTAATGAATCTACCTTCAATCCTGACATTGCATACTTTTTCATATAGTCCAGCTTCTCAAATTACTTGTTAAGCATACAGATTGAGTAAGTATGGTGAAAGGATACAACCCTGATGTACATCATTCCTGATTTTAAACCATACAGGATCTCCTTGCTCTGTTTGAATGACTGTCTCTTGGTCTATGTACAAGATCCTCATGAACACAATAGAGCGTTCTGGAATTCCCTTTCTTTGCAATGCTGTCCACAATTTGCTATGTTGAATCCCTTTGCATAGTCAGTAAAACACAGGTATACATCTTTCTGGCATTCTGCTTTCAGCCAAGATCCATCTGATATCAGCAATGATATCCTTCATTCCACATTGTCTTCTGAATCTGCCTTGAATTTCTAGCAGTTTCCCATCAATATATTCCTGCAATCATTTTTAAACTATCTTCAGCAAAATTTTACTTATGTGTGATATCAATGAAATTGATAATTTCTGTAATCCGCTGTATCAGTTTTCTTTGGAATGGGCACAAATATGGATATCTTTCAGTCAGTTGGTCAGGTAGCTATCTTCCAAATTTCTTGACATAGACAAGTGAGCACTTGCATCTGTCTATTGAAACATCTCAATAGGTATTCTATCAATTCCTGGAGGCTTGTTTTTTGCCAATGTCTTCACTACAGCTTGGACTTCTTCCTTCTATATACCATCAATTCTTGATCATATGCTACCTCCTGAAATGGTCGAATGTTGACAAATTCTTTTGGGTACAGTGACTCGGTATTCTTTCTATCTTCTTGCATTGTTGAATATTTTCTCCATAGAATTCTTCAATATTGCAACTTGAGGCTTGAAAATTTTCTCAGTTCTTTCCGCTTAAGAAAGGTCAAGTATGTTTGCCTTTTTGGTTAGCCCTTTTGGTTTTCTGATTCCAAGTCTTTGCACATTTCATTATAATACTTTGTCTTCTTGAGCTGCCATTTGAAATCTTCTGTTCAGCTCTTTTACACTATAATTTTGTCATTCATTTTTCTAGTCTAAGTGTAAAAGCAAGTTTCAAAGTCTCTCTTCTGACGTCCATTTCAGTCTTTTCTTTCTTTCTTTTTAATGACCTTTGGTTTCTTTATGTCTGATGTCCTTGATGTCATCCTACAATTCATCTGGTCTTCAGTCGTTAGTGTTCAATGCATCAAATCTATTCTAAGGATGATCTCTAAATGCAGGTGGGATATGCTCAAAGTTATACTTTGCCTCAGGGACTTGCTTTAATTTTCTTCAGCTTCAACTTGAAGTTGTATATGAACAATTGATGGCTGTACCACAATCAGCCCCTGGCCTTGTTCTCCATCATCTCTTTATACTGATGTATTCGATTCTTGAGTATTCCATTTGGCGAGGTCCATGTGTATAAGTTACCTTCTACGTTGTTGAAAATAGGCATTTGCAATGAATAAGTCATTGGTCTTGTAAAATTTTATATGTGATATCCAGTGTCATTTCTATCACCAAGACTATATTTTCCAACTATGATCCTTCTTTTTTCCCAACTTTCACTTTCCAATCACCAGTAATTATGCAATTTGATTGGATGTTTGATCAATTTGGGACTGCAAATGTTGGTAAAAATCTTCAAGTTCTTCATCTTTGGCATTAGTGGTTGATACGTAAATTTGAATAATGGTCTTATTAATTGTTCTTCCTTGTTGGCATATGGATATTATCCTATCACTGACAGCACTGCTCTTCAGGATAGATCTTGAAACGTGACACAATTCCTCTTAAATTTGTTATTCCTAGCATAGTAGAAAGGACCTCTGGTAGTGTAGTGGATAAGGCACTTGACTGCTAACCAGAAGGTCAGCAGTTCAAACCCACCAGCTGCTCCATGGAAAGAAGACTGAGCAATCTACTTCCATAAAGATTTACAGCCTCAGAAACCCAATGGGGGTCGCCATATGACTGCCTGATTCAAACTGGCCAATACCAGTTCATTTCAGCTCACTGATGCCTAGGATATTGATATTTATGTGTGCCATTTCATTTTTGACAACTTCCTATTTCCTTAGTTTCATACTTCATACATTCCACATTCCAATTATCAATGACTGTTTGTAGCTGTTTCTTCTCATTTTGAGTCATGCCTCATTAGTAAATGAAGATTTCAAAAGCTTTACTCAGGTCAACTCTACTTTGAGGAGGCAGCTTTTTCCCAGTTGTATTTTGAGTGCTTTTCAACCTGAGGGGCTCATCTTCTGGCACTATATGAAACAATGTTCCACTGCTATTCATAAAGTTTTCACTTGTGAATTTTTGTAGAAATAGATTGCCAAATCCTTCTTCCAGTGTCTTAGTCTAAAAGCTTTGCTGAAACTGGTTCACCTTGCTGGTATTGAAATACCAGTGGCATACATCACAGCAGCATCCAAGTCACCACAGTATGACAAACCAATAGACAAGTGGTGGCTCTCTTTCATTAAAAAACAAAAAAAAGCACTGCCATTGAGTTGAGTCTGTCTTATAATAATGCCCATTGGGTTTCCAAGGTGGTAAATCTTTACTGAAGTAGATTGCCCTGTCTTCCTTCCACTGAGTGGCTGGTGGGTTTGAACTGTCAACCTTCTGTTAGCAGTCAAGTGCCTCCCTTTCATAGGACTCAAAAAAAAAAAAAAAACAGTCAATCTCAACTAACAGTGTTGCAAGTAGAACTGTGCTCCATAGGGCTTTCATGGCTGTGACCTTTCAGAAACAGACTGACAGGTGCTTTTTATAAAGCGTCTCTACCAAACCAAACCAAACTCACTGCCATGGAGTTGGACCCAACTCATAACGACCCCTCCTTGGGTTTCTGAGGCAGTATCACTACGGAAGTAGATTGCCCAACCTTTCTTCCGAGAAGTGTCTCTGGGTGGGTTCAAATCACCAACCTTTCAGCAAGTAATCTAGCACTTAACCATTTGACATCCCCAGAGACCCTTTTAGGACTCAGGGACCAGGAAATTGTATAAAACAAGAGACACTTGGGGAAGAGGAGCTCCTGTATCCATGTTGCTGTGCAGATGTCTCCTCTCTGTGGCCAAGGGTGATCGATGGGGAAGGAAGACGGAGGCATAGAGGAGATCAGGCCAGATACTTGGGCAGAAGGCAAGGCCAAGAGAGGAGACCTCTTCATTTTTCCAATCTCTGTACCCTTGCTGTGTTGAGCTCAAAGGTCTGAGGGCAGTTCTCCTAAGCCAAGAGAGCTAGAATCACATTCCCAGGGTCTTTGAAAGCAGCAGAGGGTTGAGTGAGCTGGCCCTAAGCAGTTCTTCCCAGGGAGACTGTCTCCATCACTTCCCCAAATCCAAGTTCTCTGTCACAGGAGAGGCAGGAGGGTTGGCAGGCCCAGCGAGAGAAAGGATCTCACTTGTGTCCCACAGTACGATGCCAAACTCCAGTTTCTTTCAGCAAAGCTGTCTCAGACTTCTCCTGGCAACCTCCTTCCCAGTCCCTCTGAATACTCCTTTGAGAAACTCTGAATGTCCCTGGGGAATCACTGCTTCAGCCAAGTCCCATCCCTACCCTGGGCCTCCTTTCCTCTTTGCTGTGCCTCCAAGAGGGTGGTGGGAAGAGGAAAGGGAAGTTTCGTTAAAAACAATAATAAAAGTGTCCTAGAGATAAAAGCCACTTCCTTTATTTTTTTTCCCCCTTCTTTCTTATTTTTGTAACACACACAGTGTGGGCTCAGAAACCATTTTGTTCAGGGCTATTCCGTGAATCTGCACTTCTATTGTTCTGATTAAAAAAAAAAAACTCTAGCACACAGAGTGCTCTCCAGATTGTCAAAACCCCGCAGTGATTGTGCCTACTCCCTGAGAACTACCTAGGCCATTTTGCTCTAACAACTAACTTCACAGTGGACATAGGATTTTAGGGCCAAAACTCACTGCCATAGGGTTGATTCATACTGACCTATAGGAACACAGTAGAATGTCCCACAGGGTTTCCAAGGCTGTAAATCTTTATGGAAGCAGACTACCTCATCTTTCTCCCAGAGTGGCTGGTGGGTTTGAACTGCTGACCTTTTGGTTAGCAGTCCAATGTTTTAACTACAGGGCCACCAGAGCTCCTTGAATTTTAGGGCAGTGGCTCTCAATTTGTGACCTCCCTAGTCCAGTAGCATCATTTATAGGTGTGGTTAACCAAAAAATCAAACCAGTTGCAGTTAAGTGAATTCCAACTCATAGGGACTCCATGTGTGTCAGGGTAGAACTGTACTTTTCAATTATGAATTTTGGAAGTAGATCATCAGGTCTTCCCTCCGAGGAGCTTGTTGGTAGACTAAAACCTCCAATCTTTCAGTTAACAATCACGTGCTGGTCTGTTTGCACCACTCAAGGATATCTGGGAGAGTGGTCAGAAATGCAAATCACCAGGCCCCATTCCAAGCCCTACTAAATCAGAAACTCTGCGGATGGGGCCCAAGAATCTATACTTAACACACCTTCCAGGTAACTCTGATGCACAATTAAAGTTTGAGAACTACTATTCAATAGGTAAGGAGTCCTGACAGTGTAGTGATTAAGTGTGTGGCTGCTAACTGCAAGGTTGGTGGTTCAAACCCACCAGCAGCTCCGTGGGAGAGAGATGTGGCAGTCCACATCCTTAAAGGCCTCTCATTTCTCTCTCAGTCTGGTAAACTCTAAGGGGCACTCTTACTCTGTCCTATAAGGTCACTATAAGTCAGAATCAATTCTATGGCAATGGGTGGATTCTATAGATCAGAATTCAAAAGCTGTTAGAGACCATCTAACGCAGGAGTTCTTCACTTGAAATCCAAGAAGGGGCTTTAAGAGATTTGAAACTCCCCAGAATGGAAGGCAAAATGTTTAGCGTGTATGATTAAGGTCAATTTTAGTGAACAAAATCCATAGTTTTAACAGAGAAGGAAAGTAACTTGCCAAAGATCACATAGCCACAGAGGGGCAAAACCCAGCTAGAATGTGGGTCCCCAAGCTCAAAGGTCAAAAGAGGTCCTCCCTCTAACTAGCTCATTCCATCAGCAACCCCAGTTTATCCTCTTACCTGAGAGATCCAACGAGCTACTGTCAGCAAAGTCAAACTCTCCTGCAAAACACAGATGTAACACAAGTCAAAATTCCTGGCTTTTCAGCATGCAAGGACTACCCACTGTTTACTCTCCACCCTGGAAAGCCAGGACTGCTCCTGGAACCAGAGGGTGGGGTCTTGACCAAGAGGTAGCATCCCTCACAACAATGGCACACCCTTATGACACACTACACCTTCTAAAGCCAGCCTCACTTCCTTCTCATTTCTTTGATGCTCAGGTTAGTCCATGACTCAGTTTCCCCTCTGGAACCACAGAAAGTGGGACCATATCAGGGGTATGTAATGGTGGAGAGTCTCTGGAGCATAGGAAGAGTGGTAGGAAATGGAAAAGGATAACTAATCCTTTTCAATAAAAGGGCAAAGAAGAGAAGCCTGCCCTGGGTCCAGGCTTTGGGGTTTCCTCTTCAGTGTTCAACTCTCCATCTTAGCCTCCGAATTGATGTCATCAAAAGGAACCCAGAACTCCAAAGACTTCCTCAGAATATGTTTCCTCCTCCTCTCCCTACCATTTATTCCACTTCAACCTTCCCTTATGCTGAATCCGTTGCTAGCAACGAAGCCTCATTTCCACTTCTCAAAATCCGAGACCCAGTTAGCATACCACCTCCTCCAGGAAGCCTTCCCTGCCCTCTTCATTATTCTGTCTGTGTGTAGCATAGTTAGGCCTCTCATTTCTCTCTCCTACTGTACATCTCAACTTCTCAGCCACCGGTGATGCCAATATCTGTGGATTCATGCACACATTCAAGCCTGAATGTTTACACACACCTGCCTATGTAAATGCATGGGCTTCTTTTCTAACCTGTCCATTTATGAATCTCATCCTCCCAAACAAGCGCATGAGTGCCCTGAGGTACAGTCTGTGTCTTCCATCTTCCTGTGCCCACCACCACCACTTCCATTATGGCCAAGGTGGAAGTGAGCTGGGAAGGGGGCAGGAGGACAGAACCAGATCCCTGATGGGTCTGTTATTCCACCCCACCTGACCAATCCCTATAGCTAGACACTGAGTTCTCCTGATGCTGAGTTTCTGACAGACGGACATATGGACAGCAGTCTACCTCACCAGAGTTCTTCTTACCGATGGTTCCAGTCTCCCAAACTGAAACAGAGAGAAAGAGAACACAAAGGTCATTGAGGAGACTGAAGTTGGGGTCTGCTTTCACTGGGTCCCACTGGTCACTTTCTCCCTACCTCTGTCTAAAGCATTTGACTGCTAACCAGGAGACTGGCGGTTCAAACTCACCAGCCACTCCTCAAAAGGAAGGTTGGGCAATCTACTTCCATAGTGATAGAGGGGTCGCTATGAGTTGGATCCGACTTGACTGCAGTGAGCTTGGTTTGGTTTGGTTTGGTTCCACCAACTGCAGAGAGACTGCTGGGGGCCCAGAAGGGAGGAACACTATAATGTAGACAACAACTAGGGACACTGATGACTTGTACCTTTACCTCCAGATCAGGGGAAAAAACAGAGTTAAGGAGAAATAAGTAGGGGCACTGAACACCATCAGAGAGATCAGTGCTACAATATCCTGCAAAGAGACAATTACTATGATGAACATGAAATGCAGCCCTGTGCTACCAGAGAACCAAGAAATCAAATGAGAAATTCCACGCTCCCACTTCTATACATGTAAGGAAAGTCTTACTAATCAAGATTTGGGAATAGAGGTGCTAAAAGGTTCCTGCCTTACTAAACCAAGTAAATAGCAAGCTCTGTGGGATTGCCAGTGGAGAGGGAGGGATTCAGACTGGAGAAAAGTGTAGCTGAAACAAATCATGTTTCCCTGTTGATTCATTTTGCATTTTTCCTGTTGAAATTTGAAAAGGGGCTGTGTTGACGTGGTAGCTGACACAAAGTAGGTGTTTGATAAAGTTTCAATAAGTGGCTGAATGGAAGGAATGTACAAATTAAGGAAGTGATTCAGTTGGTTTCTATGAAACGAATAAGAGATGGGTGGCATCCTGGCCTCCACAGGGGCTGCCACCCCTAGTTCCATGCACCCTCAATTCAGCATCACTCTGTCAGTCTCCTCTTTCAAATCCATTCCCAGTTCCTGCTCTGTCCCAATCTCAGTGCCCAAGCACTCAGGGTGGAAGAGTTTAACTGTCACCCTCCTTCTGGGCTGGCAGGAGGTCTGGAGGTGGAAGGTATAGCTCAGATGCCCGAGAGGGTGGTGGGGGGAGAGACAGGGTGCACCATCCATAAGCCTGCATTCTCTGGTCTCAGAGTCCCTGAGTGTTTCGAACAGTTAATGCTCTCAGCTGTTAACCAAATGTTTGGAGGTTTGAGTCCACTCAGGGGTGTCTCAGAAGAAAGTCATGGTGACCTCACTCTGGAAAATCAGCCACAGAAAACTCTGTAGAGTACAGTTTTATTCTGATGCATATGGGGTAACCAGAAGTCAGAATCAATTTGATGACAAATGACTTGGGTTTTTTAGTTTCTCTGGTCTTGAGACTGGAGCCAAAAACAGGGGCCTGGGGCCCCAGCACAGCTGCAATTTCCTTCTGCAACCCCCCCTGAAGCACCTTCCCCTCCAGGGCAGAATCAACGTGGCTGGATTCCAAGGTTAGAAAGAGAATATGCCTTTTGCCTCACACAGGACAGAAAGAGCCTGCCAGGGAAGCCTGGCCAGGGAACTGTGGCAGGCAGAGCTCCTGATGGGAGAAGAGCCTGGGAACTCCCTACTCAGCAGATTACAGCCTAAACCTTAGGCAGGTGGAGGAGAAAGTTGAAGCCCTGGTCAGAAGGCATCTGTGTATGGCCACGCAGATGACTCAGACCCCTCCTGATCCTCCCAGAGGGCCCCGCACTCCATCTACCTCTGAGTCTGTGGTTTTCAGGCCATCATCACCTGCCTGGAGGCCAGCACCCCCATGAATTCCTGCCCAGCTCTCAGTCAGTGCTCTCAGTGTTCAGCCCTGCCTCCCTTGACACTAGGAGGAGTGGTGGAGAGGCTCTTTCCCACAGTCACACTGGACTGGCTGAACATGAGCCTTCTTTAGGGTCCACAGGGCCTTGCCCAAATGGCTAGAACCGGCTGGGACTCATACCCACAGGAGGCCCTGCGGCTCAGAGCCTGTATCTGAGTAGGTCTTTGAGTGGCATGTGGGTGAGGGTCTTTCGTGTCCAGCTGCCTTTATCACATATCTCATTCTGCCTTTGTCAGTATGAGTGATGAGGATAGGATCAGCTAACATCTTTTACGGAACATGCAAAATGTTCCAGGCCCCTCAAGCTAAGTGATTTCTATGTGTATTATCTTACTTTATTCCTCATAAAGCCACCTGTGAGATACTAGCCACACTATTCTTATTTCCCTTTTACACATTAGGGACCTGGGGTATAGAAAAGTACATTATCCTGTTCAAGGTCCCTAGGTAGGTAAGTGATAGAGCTGGGATTGATCCAGTCTGAGAACACAGCCTTGCTCTTACCAGGGACACAAGTATCCCCACAGGCACCTGGTGCCAAGTGTGAGGGATGTTTCCATGTACCTGCGTGCATGTGTGTCAATGGCTTTATCTTCCCCACCAGCATGTGAGCTCTGGAGTGGGGAACATCTACTGGTAAGGCAGTTAGTTCCTGGTGTCTTGATGCCCAGCAAAGCCTGGGCCCAAGCTTACAGAGCAGGTAAGACTGAATGTATCCTGAACAGCCCTGGGCTAAATAAACATACCTTGGTCTGGATTGAAGATTCGGAAGAGTTCAGGGCAGCTGACGAGGACCATCTCACCCACACGGGCGGGTTTCCAACATGTGATGTTGTCCCACATCCCGGGGCAGCCTGTGATGAAAAGAACCATGATAAGCGTGGGCTCAGCCATACACACACACATACTCACTGAAGGAAGGCTCACCCACACAGTGTGAGGAAGGACTCACATACACACGTACACTGAGGGAGGGTTCACACACACCCCACACAAACACACACACAGTGAGATAGTGAGGTGACTTATTGGATGTGACCTGGGAGGGAGAAGATATCAAGCTTGGCATTCAGATTTTTGGGCCTTGGGGACTGAGTGATCCTTGGACCCTCTGTCCACAGTCCATTCTCTCCTACTGGCCCTGCAAGCCTCTCAGTAGGGCTCCCTGCATGCCCTCCCTATTTCCACCTCCTTGCCTCCCCTTTGTGCTTCATGGCTGCAGCCTGGCTTCTGTCCCCTCCTCTGAAATGGCTCTTACTAAAGTCGCCACTGACTTCTTAACTGCCAAATCCAGCAAACGTGTTCAGCCCTTACTCTACAGGGCCGCACCAGGCCATACTCATCTCATGAGACATCATGTCTCTGGGAACAATTCCTCTGCCAGCTGCAATTCAAATGTTGCTGTCACCCTAACCTTGGTCCATCTGCCCCACTCACCTTAAATGGAGTCATCATGCTCATTGACTTAATAACTGGAAGACTTCCAATCCTCCATCTCCAACCACCCCCAGAAGATTGGATACCCCCGCCTTGAAGGACCAGCGACTCACCTCAACATCTTCCTGCTAAAACCTGGTTGCCTGGTCCAGCCTCCAGGTGGTAATCTGGGAGTCCGTCTTTTGTCTCCTCCTCCTTCCATCTCTGTATCCAATCAGTCACCAAGTCCTGCTGGTTTTACCTCTAAATATTTATGGAATTCACCCCCTACTCTCTGTCTCCCCTACCCCCACATAGTTAAGGCTCTAATTACTTTCACTTTGACTGTGGTGACAGCCTCCTGAGTGGTCTCCTCACTCAAAGCCTCCCTGCAAAGCTAATAGTGATCTTCCCAAAATGAACATCTGGCCATGTAATACACCTCACTAGCATCAACTGAAACCTTCCAGTGGCTTCCTGACTCCTTCATATCCCTTATGGTGGTACCTAAGGCCCCCTCCATCTTGCCTCATGGCTCAACCCTCCCATCTCTTGATTTTCATTCCAGCATAACAGGAAGTAGTTTAAGGCATGGGATGGAAGAGTTCACCCAGAGAAAGGGTTTTAAGGTGAGAAGAGCTTGGAGAAGGGAACTTCCATGTTTATGAGAGGGGCAGAAGACTCACACATAGTGAGGCAATTCAGAGTAAGCAGTCAAAGGTGTGTGTGGGGAGGAGCAGAAGTGTGACAATGTTTCATGAAAGGGTTATACCGTGCCGAGGGATCTGTAAGGATGGGCTGTGAAAGGGGTTTCTGTGCCAGAGATGGGAAAACTGGGCTGTCAGCACTGTGTGCATATGCATCATTGTTATTATCATTATTAATTCTATTATTGCAATCAGGTGTCCCTGGGAATCATTCCCGAGAGAGGCCCAGCTGGGAGCTGGAACAGAGCCCTGCAAGGTGCGAAGGAAGGAGGGGTGCTGACAGGTCTTAGAGGGATCCTGGGTAGGGAGCTGTCAGGCAAGGGGCTTGGGAATCCTCCCATGTCCACATCCTCTCTGCTCTAGTCCCTAACTTCTGGGTGCGGCACCCCTCAACTTCTGGTGCAGACAACCCTGTCCATCAGTATTCAGACCTGGCTATTTTGGAACTCACACCATCATGAGGGCCTCTAGCCTCCTTCTCATGGAATGATAGCACGTGGGAGCCAGAGGACCATGGAAAGTTCTGAGTACAACAAAACAAGAACATGAGGGAACTGAGGGCCAAAGGGAGGAAGCTAGGCCCCAGTATTACAGCAACAGGCCAGTTATCAATTATTCCTGTCCACCCATCATAGTGTGACATCTAGCCAGCACATGGCTGCCTGAGACATCATTTCCCCATCATTGGCTGCCGTGTCCCATGTTGACTGCGGAATGGCCATAGTGCATGGTCATGTTGGACTCATGCCCTAGGAGTTCCAGCCAGCAGATGTTGCCTTAATGTGGAACATTAGGCTCTCGCACGGCCAGCTGCTATTGCCAGATGACGTTCCTTGAGGTCACAGAAGCACTTTAGATGGAGTGAGCAGAGTCTCAAGGATTGAGGTTCAGGGAGGGATGGATGCAAGGTTCAGGCCAGATGGCAGAAGGGGAGAGGGGTACACCCAGGTTGGGGGAGTTGAGGTACAGAGGCAGGGCAGGGATTAATCTCTTTCTTCCATAACTATTTACTGAACACCTACCATATGCCAGGCACCATCTAGGTACCAGGGCTACGGGGTCGGGGCCAAGGGGTGGAATAAAAAACTTTGAAGGTTATTTTGAGGGCAGAGGAACAGAAAAAGGCAGGGAGGATATTCACTCAGCACTTGCACCAGAAGCCACAAGACCTGAGCTCAGTCTATTTCTGCCACGAGCTCAATGCATGACCCTGGCAAGTTTCCATCCTCCCACGACTCAGTTCTCCTGGGTGCATAGTGAGGGCTGAATCTCTAGTGACTAGAGCTCAATTCTGGACCAGAGACTCATTCAAAATCTGCTGGTACCTCAAAAGATGGCCTGGGGGAGACTGGGGCTCCCTCCAAAAGAGGTGTCTGCCAATTCTCTCATCCCTACTGCTGTCCTGAAGCCTGATGTCAGGATCCATCTCCCACAGCTCTCCAAGCCCTCCTGATGCCCCCTTCTGTTCCTACTCAGGGTCCCCTCTAGAGACTACGAGTCCTAAGGACATCTCTGGCCATACCAGGACAAGAAGAAACCTAAAACTAAACCTTATCCCCATGGGCCCAAATACCAGTGTCTGTGTTTAGGGGGTACCTTGAGCTCACAGTCCCCATTCATCCCTCTGGCTTGAATTACTGGGTCATGGGAGACTCACGGCCACCTCCTTAGGGCTTCCCAGAATGCATGCCTGCACATTCCCCCTGCAGTTATCACCTCCCAGCCTGATGCAGGCAGGCAGGTAGGAAGAGATAAAGACTCATTTTCTCTTCCATTCTGGATGGGACCAGCACTGGTCTCAGGAGGTTCAGCTTTGATGCCTTATGGGGCTCTTTCCCTGGAGCCTAGGAGGGTGGGAGTTGGCCTCTGAGAAAGCGTTGGGTTTTTCTCAACCACTTACAGCCACAGAATACATCCAGCTTCTACACCCTCATCTGTTCCACACTATAATCCCAACAACGTTTATCTTTCTGGGGACTGGAAGATTTAAAGATATCTCTTCTTCTGACGTTCCTTCTCTACTGGGTCTTCCTTCCCCTCCTCCTTCTATCCTTTTTCTCCTCACTTTCTCTTTCCTCTTCCTCTTCCTTAATCATTAATTTATTCAAGAAATGTTAAGTACCTAGTACGAATCAGGCTCTGGTGGTGTAGTGCCTAAGGCATTTGACTGCTAACCAGAAAGGTGGTAGTTCAAACCCATCACCCACTCCAGGGAAGGAAGACTAGGCAATCTATTTCTATCAAGATTTACCACCTCAGAAACCCAAAGGGGGTCGCTATGAGTCAGAATCCACTTGATGGCCGTGGGTATGGATTTTTTTGGTATTATGAATCAGAAAGAAGCTCTGCTGGTGCAGTGTTAGGGCATTTGGCTGCTAACTAAAGTTAGCGGTTCAAACTCACCAGCTAGCTGCTCCATGGGAGAAAGATGAGGTAGTGTGCTTCTGGAAAGATTTACAGAAATTTTAAAATACAGATCTTTTAGCCTCGGAATCCCTATGGGGTCGCTATGAGTCAGGATCAACTCAAGGCAGTGAGTTTGGTTTTGGTTTTATCAGAATAAGCAAGAGCTCTGATGACACAGTGGTTAAAGCATTTGGCTGCTAATCAAAAGGTCAGTGGCTCAAACTCACTAGCCACTCCACTTCCGAAAGATCAACCACTGAAAACCCTATGGAGCACAGTTCTACTTGACACACATGGGGCCACCATGAGTCAGAATCCATTTGACAGTAACTTTTTTTATAATCCAGAATAATCTTCTCATCTCAAGATCATTAGCTATATCTGCAAATTCCCTTTTGCCATGTGGACATCTTCGCAGGCCATTATTTAACTTAACACAGGAGGTTTTAAGGAAAAGAGTGACATGCTTTTATTAGGTTGGTAGGGAAGATAATATCTTTCAGAGGCAGAAAAGCAGAGAGGGGGACACTTGTTAAGATATGACTATGGTTCCAAGTGGGGGAGTAAGGGGCTTGAGTTGGAGTGATGGCAAAAGAGATGGAAAAAAGTCTTGCACAGGGAAGTCTTGAGTCATGATTGATTGACAGGGCTTGGTGACAGACTGGTTGAGCATGAGAAGTGTGCTGGACACAGTGCTCACAAGTATACCAGGACTGAGTTCTTGTCAATAGTATGTGGGTGGTAGTCATGAATTGGCCTTTAACACATCTCTTACTGGCTTCCACACCCTCTCTCTTCTACTTCTGCAGCATCCTTGGAGGCCACATGTTGAGGGTGGCAATGTTCCAAGATGGAAGGAGCCTGGATCCTTGTATGGTTGTGCAACAACCACTACTGATAACTTTACTGGCCAGTGACATATGCAAATAATAAATGCTATTGTGCTAAGTCCCTGGGATGCTAGGGTTTATTTGTTACTGCAGCACAGTCTAGGCTACATTAACTGATAAAATGAAGACGAGAAAGGAAGCAAGGACATCACCTAGGTTTCTGGCTTTAGTGTTTCAATAGTGGATGTCCCTGACACTACTGGCAGGTGACATGTGCAAGTAATAAATGGTATTGTGTTCAGTCCATGAGATGTCAGGGTTACATTAACTGATACAATGAAGACGAGAAAGGAAGCAAGGACATCACCCAGGTTTCTGGCTTTAGTGTTTCAATAGTGGATGTCCCTGACACTACTGGCAGGTGACATGTGCAAGTAATAAATGGTATTGTGTTCAGTCCATGAGATGTCAGGGTTTATTGGTTACTGCAGCATA